CAGGTACAACACACGAAACAGGCCAGAGTCGTAGTAGGTAGAGTTGGCAAGAAGTTGAAAAAAGGTTGAAAAATTGCTAGTAGTTGGGTAGGAAGGTCATTGTCTGTATGGACAGATTATGTATATAATATCTACTTTAACTGTTTCTCCCAGAGTGAACATCGGCTGACAGTAACAGTGCTTTATGTGTGTAGATTGTGTACGCAGCACAGTGTGCAGTGTGCTGGAGTTGTAAGCTTTATGTGACTTTGTGTGTGTGTTCCATTGGACATGCTGATACACAGAGCTCTCTGAGGACCTGCAGTCATCTGAAAAGGCACCACCGTGTGTGTGTGTGTGTGTGTGTGTGTGTGTGTGCATTCATTGTGTCGTTATTTACTCTAGCGTACAAACAAAGGAAGGTCACATTCAAGGTGACGTGATCTCACCATCTCTGCCTTAACATGCAAACAAGTTATCCCCCACCCCCACCCCCTCTTAGAGAATAGAAAACGAATGAGCACCAGCCGCTCGACCAAAGTCAATTACTGCAGCCCTGGGGATGTCGTCTTAAACAATGCTATTAGTTTCTAATAGTTTTTAATTACTGGCCTTCTTTTTATATAAATCACCCCCTACTTTCTCTCTCTTTTTTTCTCTGTCATCGAAAAAACCTATTTGTGTCCGTAATTAAATGTAGGAGAGGGGTATGAATTTAGCAGCGCTCACGTCTCGTCTCTGACTGTTTCTGTTTGAGCGGCTCCTGATTAATGCCAATACATATTGCTTGAGATAACCATTTAGTGGTTAATTTGGCCAAATTTATTGCCAGTATGCTGTCACATGGCGGAGCACGGGAGGGTGGTGGGTGGGTGGTGGCAGTGTGGGGGCCACCTCCTGTGGCCTGAAATATTGTCACAGTGACACAGCGCTATCTGGTGGAGGACAGCAGGAAGTACCAGCTCTGTATTTTAATCAGTTTATTGCACGGGGGGGGGAGCTCCAACTACTTACTGGTTCAGGTAACAAAAGTAAAACCTGACTTCAGACTTATTTTACTGGCAGAAATAAATATCCAGTGAAGTGCTCTTAGATAGCCAAAATCAATCAAGTAATTGACAAGAGAACAGACTTTTGTAGAGTTTGATTTGAATCGATAGAAATATAACTCATTCAGCTCACATGTGAGGTGAATGATCAGAGAAGACTCTGTATAGAAGATGGCTGTAGCTTTCAGGTCTGAAAAGTTAAACCAATGCAAACGTGCCTTAAACATGCATTCTTTCTAATGGCCAGCAGGGGGTGACTCCACTTGTATGTCCTGGAGGTCCAGCTAGAACTCTAGAAAATACCTCAACTCCTCATAATTCTCTTCAGTAAACACTTTCCTCATGAGTTTGTGGTGTCAGTCAGTAGATTTAAGTCTTAAGAACTATATATAATATATATATGATATGATAAAAAACACGGCATGCTCAGCTTGAGGTTTTAAGAAGGGACTTCCTTAACTGGTGGGTGCCATCATAGAGGCTATGAAAAGACCACTTATGTAGATTTATAGGCTACAGTAAGCAGAAGGGAAAACGGGTTGGGAATTGCTGTGCAATCAAGGTCCAGTCCTTGCCTTTGAAATGGTCACTTCAAAGACATTCATGTACTGTCTTCAGACTGACTTTAACAGGTCTGCAATGAGTTTTCAGTTAAACTGTGTCAAAATATTATTTCGTGTCAGATCCCAAGCCATCCCTGTGTTGATGAACATTATGTTACTGTGCCAGTGTGGAAATGCTCGCATCAGTTTTTCTGCACTGTGTGAAACGGAATTGGAGTTATGAATCTTAGATGCTGCCTCACATCACTTAGTTAGAAAGTTATGCTATGAGAGCATCTCTGAAGAAATGATACATGTCTAGTTTATTGTCTTTGCAGTTGATGGTACAGCTGCTCTGCTGGACTGATAAAGAGACACTCCTGAATAAAAGAGATCCACACTAACCTGACCGTCATTCTCTACATCATTCATGAACTTTTGGTCCATGGTGCTATGGAACAACTTACAAAGTCAATCATTTTCAAATATTAACTCTTAAACTCTGGTAGTCTCCTGTTGATCTCAATATAAAACAATATATCACTTTCTTTGTAAAGTGATTAACAGAGAAACTGACAAAAAAACGAAACTGACAGCAGTCTGCATTCTGAAAAATTGTTACGTTACGTTGTGTGATGGTTGTTCAGTGTGTGCGTACTGCTGAGAAAAGGCCAGGAGAGATTTTGTGTACCAATCTCTATGTAGAAATGTGTATAAAACACTGGAACTCACTATGCTCACTGTAAAAATGAAAACATATTTACAATGAGTATGTATGTGTGCATTTTAGCATCAGGGTTTTCCTTCTCCCTGCTCTGTTAAGTTCAGTTAAGTTCAGTTAATCATACTGAGATTTTATTTTTTAATAAAATGCAGGAATGCGTTTGCCTTGGATATAAAAACTAGGAGTCAGGACTAAGTAAAGATTGACATGATAAAGCCAAAGTTAAGGCATGCGTTCACATCCCTGAGTCACACAGCCATGCCAATTATACCCAGGTGACCCTTAGCCATGCTGCAGTAGCCTTAGACTGCTAGGAGGCTTCCTATGATGAATTTCTTTTCACTCTCTGTGTGTTTATTCATCACTACTCCAACCAGTTATGGCAGATAGACATTATGATTCTTCCTGGTAAAAGGGAGATTTTAATTCCACGGTCACCAAATGTTTACTAGTGGGTTTCTTACCATATTGGAGGGTCTTCACCTTACAATAAAAAGCACCTTGAAGTGACTGTTGTTGTCAACACAAAAACTTAAGTACACCCTTACTGGTTACATAAAATTAAGAGGATAAGTAGCAGCCAAGTGCTAATAATATATGTACTTAATTAGCTGATCATCAACAAGTGCGAGGACCTCTTTAAAATCAGAAGTTTTGGCAGTGTGCTTATCTAGAATATTCAGTTTACAACAAACAAAATAAAACAAGGTTTTTCAATCGTCCAGTAAAAATCCCAAACTCAGCCGGATTAAAATGCTGTGGTGGAAACTCAGGAGATCCACCAAAATCGTGGTTGGAAGTAATTATTGCAGTCCTACATATGAAAAGAAAAGACTGTACTAGCCATAAAGTCTTTTATGTGTGGACTACAAATTTTAACATCTATTTAAGTCACTAGAACTCAAAATTATATAAAGAAGTATATAAAACCAGTCCAAACAGGATTCATTATGGGCTGTCAGGAAAAAAGTATTACAAGAAAAATACTAAATCTCCAGTTAATATCTCAGCTTGGATCCTGAGAAAGCATTTAATCAAGTTTATTGGCTGTTTCTGGAACAAACACTGATAGAAATAAGATAGAAATAAGAAATGGAGAAATATTTGCTACTTGGATTAATGCACTTTATAAAAATCCTAGGTCAAAAGTTAGGCTTAACAGTTGTTGTTCTGATTCATTTATGGTTGAAACGGGTGTGAGGAAAGGGAGACTCATTATCACCAATTCTCTTTATTGGCTTTATAGGCTCTTACTTTTTCTTTTGGGACTTTAGAGAAACATATGGCTCAGACCAGAGGTACATTTTACGGATACTCCTATTCATTGCTGGGAAAATGAGAACTCTGAAGTGGAAGAAAACAAAACCACCATTCATAACTCAGTGGATACAGAGACCGAATAAGTCTACATAATAGAACAAATGACTGCAAGTCTGCAACTGAAGAAGGGAAAGAACTAAAGAAGAGTGTGCCAGAATTTCTCTACCATTACATGAGAGACTGATAAAGTCATAGATAAAGAATGAAGTCTTCCTCATCACTGCTAATTTAACACATGCTAAACTTTAGAAAGGTAAGCTTTACATTCAATTCAATTTTATTTATATAGAACCAAATCACAACAATTACAATTGATATTGTAAGGAAAAGATCCTACAATAATACAGTGAAAACCGAGACAACTCCAACAAAAAAGTGAACCCCTTTAAGCAAGCGCTTTGGCGACAGTGGGAAGGAAAAACAAAGGGACGACCATCTGCTACGACCGGTTGACACACTGTAGAAAAGAGACAGAGATGAATAATAGATAAGATTAAATGCAGTGTGGTTTATAAATAAAAAAGTGAGTGAAAACAGTGAATGAAAAAGAAACACTCACTGCATTTTAGGGAGTCCCAGCAGCCTAGACCTACTGCAACATAACTAAGGGTGGATTCAGGGTCACATTATCGAGCTCTAACTATATGTTTTATCAAATAGGAAAGTATTAAACCTAATCTTAAAAGTAGAGAGGGTCTCTGTCTACTGAATCCAAACTTGAGGCTGGTTCCACAGAAGAGGGACTTGAAAGCATGCGCCTTTAAATATCCTTGTAACCACAAGTAAGCCTGCAGTCTGAGCATGAAGTGCTCTTATTGGGTGATATGGTGCTATGAGGTCATTAAGATAAGATGGTGCCTGATTATTCAAGACCTTGTATGTGATGAGAAGTACATGATTGTGTACTGTCAGAATGTCACAGCAATAGGATATTTCAGCATTCACGTTTCATAAAAACTTGATGTCATGCTTTGAGTGTGTTATTTCAAACCTATGGGAAGCACATGGATACATGAACAGGCAGTGCTGCACACACCCACACAGATACGGAGAGAGCAAGAGAGGCTGGCAGTGTGTGTTGGTCTGATTAATGACGGCACCAGCAGAGCAGCTCTGAGCCAGCTGTCACATGACATCTGATGACTGCCTCCCTCTCGCTCTCTTTCTCTCTCTCTCTCTCTCTCTCACACACACACACACACACACACACACCTCTCAGTCTTTGTTTCTCTCGCACCTTCCACCCATCCAAACCCCCCTGTCCTTTATCCACTTTTTTTGCCTTTTCTTTCTCTCCTCTGACGAACTATCTGTAAAGACACAACATCAAAGAGAAAACGCAGTGAAATAACAAACATCCTTTCTTGCTTTCTTTCTCTGTCTCAGTGATGAATAAAGGCCAGAGTGTGACAAAGTATTACCGGTGGATCCAGAAGAATGGTGGTTACATCTGGATCCAGTCCAGTGCCACCATCGCTATCAATGTGAAAAACGCCAGCGAGAAGAACATCATCTGGGTCAACTACGTTCTCAGGTCAGAGGTCGACAATGTGATAATGATCTTGTGGTACAATGGTATGGTGGAACAGTCCAAAAAATTACCTCCTACCTCTTTTTTCTTATTGCTTTTCCTTGATCTCTGTGGAAACATTAGGAGGTCAAGGAGAGTTTATTAAAACTCATTCAAAAGAAGTAAAAGAGAAGCTGCTCAGAGAATCCAGATGTATGTATACTAGACTCTTAAACAAATGCAGATGTCCAGAAAATGGAGAGTTTTACAGGGACAGGAGCCTCTGCAGATTAATTAAAGAAACAAAGCCAATGAAATGAACTAAATCACATTTTCTTACTGTAGATTAATATCATACAGAAAGTAATAAAGCTAGCTTTCATTGACTAGTTTGTTTTACTTTTAAAGAATAGACAGACATAGGCATTACTTTATAAAAACATTTGCATCCTCCCCATTTTACTTTATAATGCATTCACGATTGGAGCCATGTTATTATAAATTATACATTATAGCCAGGGGGGCACATAAGTGGTCCGCTGTCAAAATAAAAGATGCGCACCAGATAAGAAGTTGCAACGTGCGTTTGCGTCCATATAAAAGGCGCTGTTTTTGTCCGCTAGAGTGGGATTTTCACGGCATATTCTGCACCACATCTCTGTGCTGTTCATCATTTGTTTGAAGCCAGCTCACCTCCTGCAACCACTTTTCCGAGAATACGCGCTTCTTTTGCGGTTCGGACTCCTTCTGACATTTCTTTGGAGGTGGAGGAACACCAAAGTAATTGCTTAAAGGAGCTTGCTTCTCGACATCTTTAAGAGTTCTAAACAAATGTCTGTCCTCCTCCAGAAAATCTTATGTACGCAAACCGGTTGCAACTTCTTATCTTGACAGCGAATGCGCACCTGCGGACCACTTATGTGCACCCCTGTTTAGCTTGACATTTTCATTAGATTTGACCAAGGCAATCGATGAACAAACGTTTCTTCTGTCACTGACAAATTTTCTGTGTCTTTGCAGTAATCCAGAGTATAAAGACACACCCATGGACATTGCCCAGCTGCCAAACCTGCCTGAGAAAGCTTCAGAGTCGTCTGAAACTTCAGACTCTGAGTCCGAGTCCAAAGAAAACTCAGGTGGGTAGAAAAGGGAGAACAGAGGAGCAACATATAGTTGCTAAATGAAAAAAAAAAAATAGGTTTTACATATAGTTGATATATTTGACAGTATTTGGAGTAATCTGCTGGCCTCTAGTGCATAGCCTGAGTCCTGCCATCATTTTCTTCAGCCACAGTTTGAAGAAGAGCAAAGATTAAAAAGCCGTATGAGTTCTGCTTACCATCATGTCCATTCAGTCACATTTTAATGGAGATAGGCATCAGCGTCATTTATATTTTGTGTATTCTTTTCTTTTTTTTGTTTTTGCTCCTCTGGATTCCGTTGGATCTAGAGGGCCTCTGACAAAACTGACCTTATCCCAAACGTAACAGCTCCTAGATGGCAAAGCCTATGTAAAATAAAAAGAGTGAACCAAAAAGATATAAATCAGATCATATTCTTACATTGTATAAATATTAGAATAGTTACAATATTGCACAAAATGCTTCTAAAACCTACATGATTCCTTAACAGCACCTGTTCAAATACAACCAGAAAAAAGAAATATGGTTTGAAGAAGAGAAGCCAAAGATATTTTATCAGCTGGTGCCAGTGTGCTGACTTTGCCAGGCTGAAATGTCTTGAATGCCAACAGCTGCAGGGACTGGGCGCTCACTGGCAGTGTTGCAAACTGCGACAAAATGACAAAATGACAAAATATGGTACAGCTGCACAGCATCACACAATGCCTCCAAACTTCACACATCACAAAATCCTGCAAAATGCCTCAAATAAAGGCCACAATACACAAACACCCTCCAAGAAATGCACCAAAATGGCACAAAGGAAATAACACATTCTGCTCATCGTTGGAGATCTGCAAATCACAAAGGTTTAGGCGATGCCATCTCAGTCCTGTAGGCAGGGGAATCTTCTTTTGTGTGAAAAACAATTCTAGAAAATATTTTTAAATGAATAACATTTCTTCAGGGATAAATTCTGTGCTACTACTTTTTCTTTGTGTGTAGTTTAGGTCATAAAACAGCTTAATTACAATATTTGACAGTGAGTACTAAAACAGGAGACTATAATAAATCTGCTTTTCATCACCCTTGACACTACAGACACTGTAGTGCTGCTGTTAGTTTGAAATTTATTTTGTTCCCACTACAGAGGCTGTCCAAACTTCCTAGTCCCATTGATTCGCTGCAACAGATCAGTAAAGAAACACGATTACAGACCTCGATACAAAATGCTGGAATAACATCTGGAAGCAGAAGATATTGTATTAGACTAAGAAAAAGGGAGCTCTGTTCAGTGAATGCACTTGTCAGCAGTCTTGAGTCATTTGTTTGTGCAGACATGGCACACCAAAAATGAAGGAGGGCTTTGCCGTAAACCTAAAAAGCAACACTCAGCTTCTCAGATTCTTGGTATAACATTGTCTGCACACGCACAAGTACAAACTTCATCAGTCTTATATGTCAGCTGAGGGGATAAAGACTTCTCTCTCTCAGGTTTGCCTACTTGTATTTCTTTATTGGATACAGAGAGGTAAGAAACTTCCTTGGAATTTTAACTCAGGCTAGTCATTTCATATCGTGTCAGAGCAAACCAGCTGATAAAACTTCCAGCCAACCACTCTGACAACTACCATTTTAACCATTTTAGGCTTGACTGATGAGGTAAAGACCCTGCAATAATATGTTGGGGCTGTTGTTGTAATTTGGTGCTATATAAATAAATTGTTTTAGACCTCGAATCGGTATTAAATAAATTTTTAGACTGAATGATTAAAACATGTATAGTGTTTTTAATAGTCTGGAAAAAAAAAATGCCCGATGGCATCTGGTGCTTAAGAGGTATTAATTCTAAATTTTGAATTTGAAAATCAAAACTAGAACCCCGAATTGGATAAGCGGGAGGTAATAGATTGATGGAGAAGCCAAAACTTTCTGTTAAATATTTTGGAAACTGTTCACTAGATGAAACAAATTCATCAGAATCAATTTACTAGATACACAAGGATGCCTCACAGGTGATGCCTCACCTGAGATCTTGAAAACACTGATATCTGATTTCAGATCTAGAAACAGAAAACAAGGATTTTATTCACCTTGTGTCACCAGCATTTTAAGCAGCAGATAATAGTGAAGGAGACAAAGCTCAAAGCAGTGTCATTACAGCTGAATTTAAAGCAAGCCTGGGCCTCCACCTTGAGCGTAATATTATCAAGTCCACCAGCCTGTGCTGGCATGATGGGAATCAGTGCCAGCTGTTATTCTTGCTGGAGGAGAGTGGTTCTGGCACACTGTTGGCTGTAAACTGACGCCAGCTGCTGCAGGAAGTGTCCAGCTTCAGCTCCAACAGGCCTGCGATGCCCCAGTTTGACATATTTTAAAATGAGATATCTGCTCTTTGACATTTGTTCTCTTAAGATGCAATGTATGTACAGAAGGAGAGCCTATGAATAAAGATGTCTAAAATGGCAAACAAAGTTATCTTTTACCCCCCTTTTTTTTTTTTGTGGGGCAGAATACAGCAGATTGTCTGTCACATGCAAAATTGGCATACCATAATCTAATAAGTTTTACTTACCCTACGTTACTACTGTGAATTATTACAACAATATGGATTAATCCGCAGCTGAAAATCCTTCCCATCAAATACCTCCTGATTCACAAATAAAATAAATAAAAAATTGAAGTAATGTAAAAATGCATGCTCAGTGTCGTTGCCAACGACACTGGGACAGAAGAGCAGCAGTGTTGTGTATTAACTAGCCTTGTCAGATGCATTTACAGAGAAACCAGTCAGAATTAAATAAGAAAATGAGCAGCATAATTCAAGATGTCCTCGACCTGATAGCACTATCCAAAGATTGGGTATCAGATACGCATACTGCCAAAAGTATTCACTCACCCATTCAAATGACTGAGTTCAGGCAATCCAGTCACTTCCATGACCACGTAAAATCAATCACCTAGGCATGCAGACTGCTTCCACAAACATTTGTGAAAGAATGGGCCACTCAGAGGAGCTCAGTAAATTACAGAATATTACCAACTTTCTGAGTTAAGAGCTTCTGTGAAAAGAACTCTTATCGGCTGAGCAAGACTTTTTGAACAATTTCATTCTGCCAACTTTATGGGAACAGTTTGGGGATGTACCCTTCCGGTTCCAACAGGACTGCACACCAGTGCACAAAGCAAGGTCCATAAAGACATGGCCTGCACAAAGTTCTGACCTCAACCCAATAGAACACCTTTCAGATGAATTAGAGCAGAGACTGTGAGCCAGGTCTTCTTCTCCAATATGAGTGTCTTACCTTACAAAAGCACTTCTGGAAGAATGGTCCAAAATTCCCATAAAGACGCTCCTAAACCTTGTGAAAAGCCTTGGTAAAATGGTAAATGTGGTTCTTATACAGTGCTTTTCTACACTACCCGCACACTCAAAGTGTGCTATACAATATATTCTCAGAAGAGCTGTAGCTGTTATACCTAAACCCTGTGGATTAAGAATGGGATGTCACTCAAGTTTTGTGTGTGAAGGCAGACAAGTGAATACTTTTGGCAATATAGTGTATTTCACAGTGTAGTTGTTGAAATGTCTTCTTCATGTGATCTCATGGTCTATGAAAATACTTGACTCCATTTTATTGTGAAATGATATTTCATTTATATTGAACCTCCCTGGTTGGGAGGAACCTTTAAGACTACCGGTCCATTTTTAATTTTCAGGCTTGGAATACATCTGTTTTGCTTGGAAAGCCCACTTAATGGAGATACAAGGTTTCCCCCAGACAAAGCAATTGAGTCGACATTTCGGATGCCATTAGGGAGTCTTAGCTCTGCCAGCTGGGCAGCCGCTGGCCTGGCCTATGTGTGTGCTGGCAGAGTTTAAAGTGTGTATGTGTTGTGTGTGTAATGGGCTAGACAGAGCCAACATGCCTGAACAGAAGCAGCTATGGATACTGAGCACACATCAGTGCATCCAGAAAACAACACATGGAATACCTGTCCTGAAAAATGTAAGGGGGCATGCAGAATTACGCAGGTATTCAATGGCAGTGTTGGCAAGTCAGTCTGACACACTCACTGGATGGAGTGCCAAGACACTTGTGTTTCCAAGAGTATAAATCTTATTGTTTTTTTAGGGAAACTCTTCACTGTTACAACATCAGGATAAATTTTTCCACAACATTGGAGCATAATTTTTATGTCAGTCCATCAAAGTTTTTGATTCACTCCATATCAAAGCAATTAACAAATCTAATGATTTTCTTTTCCATTACTAAAGCCACACCTCTATATCATGAATGTGAGTTCACATGGTTCAGATGGTTAATGGACTGTAATTAACAAGTAAATTAATGGTTGAAACGATGGTGCACAGCATTAGTTCAAGCAGGTTATGAAGTCAGGATCTGCCACAGCACTGGCTGCATTTGCAAATCACTTTGCAACCCATTCCTGCAACAGCTCTTCCCTTCATGCTGTGTTTGACTACATCATCAATTTTATGTGTTCATGCAGTGACTTGTTGCTGCTCTGGGAAGATATCATACTGCCAAATATTAAGAATCTACTTATGTCTAGAATGGTTTCGACTGTAACTGGAATCTTCTTTTTCTGCATTATAAACAAATATTTTTTTTCGACAGACAACGAGAACACCAAGGCAGAGGAGAAGCCCGGCCACCAAACAGAACACAGTGAGGACCCAGAGACAGACAGCAAACGTCAGCAGCAACCCGGCCAGTCACACTGTTCATCTGAACAAGAAATGAAGCGCCAAGAAGAAGGAGATAGCTCAAGTAACCCTGAGAGCCAGGACAGTGATGACAGTCTGGAACCTTCAGATGGAGAGGGTGAGGAGCAAGAAGAGGCTGGCAGAGGAGGTGGAGGTGGAGGTGGAGGCAGGTTGGGAAGGTTAGCAGGGCTTGGAGGATTAGGGAGTCTGGGTGCCATCGGTGGACTGGGTAACCTAGGTGGGCTTCATATTAAAGTAGAGCACTACGGAGAAGGGGAAGACGTACAGCTGCGTAGCTCCCAAACGTCTTCATCAGAAGAGGAAGGAGAAGAAGAAGAGGAGGATGAAGAAGATGACGAGGATGACAATGGGTGCGTGCAAGATTGTGACAGTGTCAATGCTGGTAGCAAGCTGCAGAAAAGGCGAAAGAGGAGGAAAGTGCAGAAATGGGATGGCTCACGAAGCAGGAGGCTTCGTCTGTCTTCAACTACACCCAGTCCCATAGCAATAGGCGATACCACTCCGCTAGTCGACCCCTCCCAAGCCACAACCGCAACCTCCACCCATCTCTTAGCCTCATCTGGCTCCCCAAACAGTGCAAATGCAGCATCCTCAGTTCTGAAGATTAAGACAGAGATGGCAGAACCAATAAACTTTGACAATGACAGCAGCATCTGGAACTACCCTCCCAACAGGGAAATTTCCAGAAACGAGTCTCCATACAGCATGACCTCCAAGCCATCTGCTCCAGGGAGCCACGAGACCTTCCCCTCACCACAGGGAGGATCTCTCCAGGTAGCCATTCCTGACTCTGTCCTCACCCCTCCTGGAACTGAGGGAGGAGCAGGAGGAGTGAGGAAACCCCCTTACAATGGAAGCTCAGCCCCATCCTCTGCCTCCAGCGCTGTAAGCTTAGCTCCTCCTTCCAGCGCCTCCTCTGCCGACCCCCTATCCCCTCCCCTTTCTGCATCCCCACGGGACAAGCAACAAGGCACTCCCACCACCTCTTCTTCCTCATCTTCTTCTTCATCCTCCTCAACCTCTTCTTCTTCACTGCTGTACTCTGGGGACCTTGAAGCACTTCAGCGCCTGCAAGCTGGTAACGTGGTGCTTCCGCTGGTCCACAGAGTCACAGGTACTCTGGCCTCCACCAGCACGACAGCTCCACGGGTCTACACCACTGGGACCATCAGGTATGCGCCAGCGGACGTAACTCTGGCTATGGCACAAGGCAACCTCCTCCCTAATGCTGCCATGAACTTTGTTGACGGCTCAGGGTTCGGCCTGGACCCTAAGACACCCATGGAGATGCTCTACCATCATGTCCACAGGCTCAACATGTCTGCTGCGGCAGCTGCTGGCCCCTTTGTCGGATCTCCTACTGCCACAGGTGGGAACGGTGCCCTTGGAGGTCAGATGCCAACAACAGCCAATGTTTTCACCACGGCAGAGGGACTGTTCTCAACGCTACCATTCCCAGTGTACAGCAACGGGATCCATACCACGCAGACAACACTGGAGAGGAAGGAGGATTAGCAGAAAGTATCCAAGACCGCATTACTGTGTTTTCGGAATCAACAACTGTGTCAAAGACTGCTCACTAGTAAATAAAAATGAAAGACTATTTACTTGTTTTATCAACACGGTTTAGCACTGTGTTTCCGAGAGAAGAGAAAGGAAAGGATGACAGATGTACTCTAGCACTTTGAATCTCAGAAACTGAGCTTGCGTAACAGACGTGACCCTCAAACTTGTCCCCCTTTTCTATCTGTTTTCTCTCTCCTCCTCATCCTCTTCTCCTCTCTCAGTCTCTCGCTTTGCTCCCGTTTCTTGCGATCAGCAACTCTTTTCTCTTGAACAAAAAAACCCCAGACTATTCTTTATTGTAAAGAACCCCTTTTTTGCCTACAGAGAATTCATATTGCCTAAGGACTCAGTTGGAGCCTGATGGGGATAATTTTTATTATTTGACTTGTTTCTGTTGCATCTTTATAAAGATGTGGATTGTGTGTATTTAAAGGAGGACGGTACAGGGATTTGTAACAGACAGAGAACTCTATGTGGCGTTCCTTCTTATGTATCTTGATGTGATCAAGGCTTGAAAAGAACGTTTTTAAACCGAGAGGACGGTGCTCTCTTGCGCCCCACAAAGGTCTCAGAGATAATCTTTTGAAAAAAGGTTTTTTGAGAAAGTTTCTCAATTGAGGGAATAGTTTAGTGAATTAATGCTGTTTTTTTCTTTTACTTTTATCCTTTTTTTTATATATATAAAATATTCTAGCTCAGATTTCACTTACGAATCAAGCATTAAAAAGAAAAACAAAAAAAAAAGCAATTTCAGCCGGGTAATGACCTGTGAATTATCGAATGTTACTACTTCCTCTTTTATCCCAGGAGTTTACCTACAGGTCTCGCACCAAACATAGCCTCCTCTACACCTCTTCCCATCTCAATCTGTCGCTCTCTCTCTTATCTTTCACGCTGTCTGCCTGACCTTTCATGTTTCTGTCCACATTTCTTCCTGTCAATTCTACAGATTTGTGGTGCTACCGACCGTCCAGTAACCCTGATTCAGCTGGCTGATGTGGGTACTGTAAACAAACCCACAGCTCGTTGATAGACTGATATCATTTTTTTTATTTTTTAGAGGGGGGGAAAGATTTTAAAGTTTGTTTTTGTTTGTTTGTTTGTTTGTTTGTTTGTTTGTTTGTTTGTTTGTTTGTTTGTTTGTTTGTTTGTTTGTTTTTGACTTCAGAAGCTCAGACATCATCAGTGTACACAAACTTATAATACACATTATCTCCATGTTTCACCTACATGTCCCTCTCCATTCTGATTGGGCCACAAGGGGCAGCGCAACATGGAGTTGATTTGTTGAATTTTTGGCTGTACAGTGTTGTTTTTATTTGTATGTATTTTTTTTAACTTAATCACATTAAATGCTCAGTGAGACTGAGTCTAATTAGCTAGCAGCACTAACTTAAGAAATGAATGTTGACAACCTTGACCGGTTCTTGTTTAATCACTGTTTTGTTATGCAGTTACTTTATTCCTTGGTCCCCCCCCCTCTCTTCCTCTTCTCTCCTTAACCAGAACCACCTCCGCAAGATATTCCTAAAAAAAAAAATCCACTCTCTTCCATCTCATCGCCGGACCCTGTGATTAAAAACCACATATCAATAAGGAGATTGTAATAAAGACATGCATTTTCAATCAATCTATCAAACAATCAATCTAATAACTATAAGAAAAAAATGAATATGCGTTTGTTTTTTTGAGGAAGAAAAAAATCACATTCCTTTAAACAATGTTGTCTTTGTCATTGTTCTTGTGTTTCGTGTTCTTTTCTTCCCCGAGTCTACGTTGCCAAAAAAGAGAAAAAAAAAGAATTGCTTAATCTCACAAGTTTAGTGTTTGAAAAGCACTGTGATTCTTGTTCATTTGTGTTTTTATTTCTTCTACTTTTTTGGTAATAAGAGAAAAAAGAGGATAAGTAATAATTAAAACAGTATAAAAACTGTCACACCATCCATCTTTTTAAAGCTGACAGCCCCGTCTTTGCCATCCTGCCATCTTATTACCCAGTGTGATTAAGACGTAAAAATGTGTTACCAATGTGTTTAGTGTCACTGGCTGTCAAAAAGTCTTTCATGGCGACTTCTCTCTCTGTGTGTGTTGACTATATGCAGTATATACTGAGCTACTGTAGCTGTTTTTGTCCTTTGTCTTCTCTGTGCTCTATCTCTAGTGTGGGGGAAAGGAGAGGGGAGGGGCTAGAGGGAAAAGGAGGTGGAGTCTATGGGATGATTGACATCCCCCCAAAAAACAACAGCTCCTTGTCTCTCTTACTCCTTCTCTTTGTCTTTCTCCCTCTATCAGCAGTCTTAGTGAAACCAGTGGAGGTTCGTGGAATTTCGTGTTCGGTGGCCTTTGCAAAAAGCAAAAAAAAAAAAAAAGTTTGCAGAGTCCACCTTTTCTTTCGCTGCTTCCTTTTTGTCTTTGTAAAACCTTTTGATTTTGTTTTCTAATCCTTCTCTATCTTTCTCTCTGCTATTGCTTTTTGCTGTTGTGTAGTCTTATACAAACCTCTTTATCTCACTGTCTTTTCTCTCAGAGATGAAAAGATTCTCTAACTAGCTCAAAGGTTTATGGAGCCATGTTTTTGCCACTAAGGAATTCTGGGAATCAAAGTTTCCTGCTATTATTAGATAACTAATAAATATTTACAGTATATTAGAAACAAATTATGACAAAGAAAAGCCTAAAGTAAGATTTTAGCTGTAGATTTATGACCCAGACAAATGCCTCAGCTGTGAAACCTTTTCCCAGGATCCCTTTGGGCTTCTTGTGTGCATTGGGTGTATTTCATTGGTTCCCACCAAAACTTGTTGACTTCCTGCGCAAACTTCTCTCACGGGACAAACAAAGTTAAACAAGTGGTTCATGGGGGAAGAAAAAAAAATCACGGTAGTCTTTCAGGACACGTAATAAAAAAATGATTTTAAAGATTTCTAAAATAACTAAAAGAAGAAAAAAATATTTCGCACTATAAATCTATTTTTATAGGTGTTTTGGAAAACTGAACTGCATGTTTAGTAAGTTTGTCCGATGCATTTCTCATAGTCGAACCCTCGTTTTTTGTTGTTCTGTTTGTTTTTATTTTCAGTTGAGCAGTTTCTTTTTTCTTCTTCTTCTTTTTTCAAAGTCTGTCGAGCCCAGTCTGTTATCAAACCGACCCGGGCCTCTCATCACACCTTCACATCAGGAAAACCAATCTGTAGGTTGTGTGCTGTCTGTGAAGAATCGATGTCTTGTTACTGCAACTAATGTGTACAACAACGAAACAAATCCAGGTTAAGAAATTGAACAATGTGCTTATTTTGTTTTTGCGCTCAAGTAAGAGGAATGTGGTTTGGGCCACCCGACCTGCCAGTTTATTGTCGGGTTGTTTGTGGTTGAATGTTAAATTTGTCATTTTGGGAGCATTTTGCTGCTCCTCTAGATTTTAGCATTTTCTACTTTTTGGCAGTTTTGCATGAAAAGTGGGGGGATGGGGCATAGGTGAATGACGCTGCTGCCCCGTTTGGTAAAGAATCGGGCACGAGATATAGTGTAGGTGGTGATGACAGCGGTGGGTGTTGATAGTGGTGCGGGGTGGGTGGGGGAATACATAACTCAGATGAAAACCAGGAAATACACCCACATGTAACAAAAAACCAAACAGCCAGTCCAAGCTGTTTCAATGTTTTTTCTGTGTTTTATGTCGAAAAATGAAAACTTTGCTGGTGATTTTAAAAACTTAAAAACCTTAATCACATCTGCTGTCAAAAATACATAGTGTTTAAGAAATACAATATTGAAAAATCACTTCATTTACCTGTGAAAAAACTGTGTCTGTGTTTTTAACTATTTCTTGTACAATTATACAGATTCTTTTATGAGGAACTTGGTGCCAAGTAGCTGAAATACGGGAGAGAGGGAATCTCTTATTATCAATGTTAACAGTGTTATAAAATTCTAAATACAAACAAATTAAAATATTAAAAAAGAGAAAACTATGGTACATTTCTATTTTTTTCCCCCTCTCAGAAGAGTGGGGGGAACTCATGACTAACTGATGCTAACTTTGAGTGCCTGGCTTATTTTTTTATTATTATTTTTGGACATGCTGCGCTACTTAGTTTGGCTTGGCGGACCTTTTTTTTATTTTTTTTTTTTTTTATTTTAAATTTTTTTAATTTTTTTTTTTGGGAAAGACATCTTTTTGAGTTCATTTACCATGAATAATGCTGCAAATCCGAAAATGTACATACTTCATTTTTATAGCAGTTGTTCTTTTATAAGTTTGCTAGGTTCTCATCCGTTCAGAGGAACATGTCATATACATGGTTGTCTTTCTGTAACCCGGTTTTGACCATCTTACAGGTGCCATATTCATAATAAAATTTTCTCTCAAATTTGTTACCAGATTGCATCATTTCTTCTGTTTGACACATTCAGCCATCCCGCCTCTCGCCAGAATACTGGATAATGTTACATCTCAGGCTGCCAGGTTTTCTCTTCTTTCGTCTTTCTTTTCTTGCTCTTCCTTAGCTGTTGGTTTTTTGGTTTCTTGTCAGAAAGTATCTGAGCTTTATGAAAATGTCTGAGCTCAGTTAAGTATTTTACAGATACATGGATGGACTTTATTAAATTACAACATTTTATGCATTCGGAGATAATAAACAAAAAAGATCTGGTCCTTCGCAGGTTCCAAATTTACGCTATATTGCCAAAAGTATTCACTCGTCTGCCTTCACACACATATGAACTTGATTGACATCCCATAGGGTTTAATGTGATGTTGACTCACCAACACTTCGAAGACTGCGAAGACTTCCCACGAGGTTTAGGATCCAGAAGAGCATTTGTGAGGTCAGACACTCGTAGTGGATGAAAAGGCCTGGTTTGCTGTTTCTGCTCTAATTCATCCCAAAGGTGTTGAGGTCAGGCCAGTCAGTTTCTTCCATATCAAACTCACTCATCCATGTCTTTATGAAACTTGGTTTGTTCACTGGTGCGCAGTCATGTTGAAACAGGAAGGGGCCATCTTCAAACTGTTCCCACAAAGTTGCCAGCATGAAATTGTCCAAAATATCTTGGTATGTTGCATCATTAAGACTTTCTTTCACTGGAACTAAGGGTCGAGCCCAAATCCTGAACAACAACCCCACACCATCATGCTCCCTCTATAAAACTTTACACTTCAGTTAGACAAGTACAGTTCTCCTTGCAACAGCCAAACCCAGTCGCCCATCAGATTGCCAAACGGAGAAGCATGATTTGTCGCTCCAGACAACACATCTCCACTGCTCAAGATTCCAGCAATACCATGCTTTACACCACTGCGTGTTATTGAGCTTATCTGAAGTCTGAGTCTGCAGAAGGTTTGGGACCTCTATGCACATCACCATCCGCTGACCCCCCTCTGTGATTTTACTACCACTTTGTGACCAAGTTGCTGTCTTTCCCGGATGGCAAGGAAGATTCATAGACGTTGTTAAGGAGGGCATGCAGAGGCGGTTGATGTGACAGTAGGGGATGCTGGAATAGGGTGAGATGGAAGGAGATGATCTGTTGTGACAACGCCTAAAGAAAAAGAAAGAAGTAACTTCAGATGAAAAACAACCTAATACACTATTTTGACAATATAATGTATTTCAGTGTGGTTGCTGAAACAGAGATTAAGCCAAAAGTCTAGGAACATCCTGTGGAAAAACAGGCTGTTTCTACACTAACACTACACTAAGTACGTTCTATGAATCAGTAGCTTGCAAAACAATCATTACTAGCAGTAAATTGAAATAATCGTTTTTTTGGATGACTTTATGATTACCTCACATTATTGTAGAGCCGTTTTGGTCAACTTTTATTTATAACATTACTTCAATTCACTGAGGGTTGCAGAGGCAATTGTTTATGAGCAGCTCTCTTATGGTCCCATCATAGCATTTCAATGAGGTTGAGTTTTTGGCTTTGACTGAGCCATTGCAAAAAGGCTCAGTTACAAAGTATTTCCAGCCATTGTAATTTTGCTAGTGATTCTCCTATTGCATGACTCAGTTTTTGTCAGGCTTTAGATGTCAGACAGATAGTCTCCCATTTAGAATACTTTGATATATGGAGGAGTTCATGGTCAACTCAATGACTGGTGAGTACCTAAATCATTACCCCTCCACCACTGTGCTTTAATCCTGTTTTGTTTGGTTTTTTTGTGCAATTTTTCTTTGCATTGCACAGTCTGACCTTGTGATGAATTTTCCAAGGGTTAAGCAACAACTTGTTTCGCACTTTTAAATAGACTTTCTCACTGTAAAATGATGGCCTTCATACTGTTTGGACATGGCCTTATAACCCTTGCAAAATTGATGGATAGCAACAGTTGCTTTTCTAAGATCATCCTTGAGATAATGTTAACACACACTTGAGCGTTCCGGACTAGCAAACTGCCAAAACCTTTGCCTTTATAGAGGAGCTCACACCTGCTGATGATCAGCTAATCAAATGCATTAGCAGCGCCTGGCTGCTCCTTACTCTCCAAAGTCTCTCTAATTGTTTTTGATAAATAAATACTGACATGGTGTAATATGTCATGTGCTGGTATTCAGGTTGTATTTTGAGACCTAGTGTAAGATTTAATATGTCCTGATATCTAATTCAGTTGTAGAATTGGGTCCAAAACTTCGTCCCTTCAGGTCCCAAAGTCAAACGAACACTGCAGCATCACTGAGAGTTAAAAACTGTCTAAATTCTTTCATCTTTAATAAAATGATCAGCGTTGCTGCTTTACCAGGTGTAACAATTAAGTTTAACATCCAGGCATCCATGAAAACAGAATTTATTAAATTTAATGGAGTTAGAAGTTAGCAGGAAGTTAGCTCGCTAGTTTCCACCTAAACATGATATAGCATGTTCTGACTGAGAGATTTCTGAAAAAATTCAAACGTACAGCTCTGCTATCACTTCCAACATAAATGAAGACAGAAAACTAAACAGCAGTGACGTTTGTAGGGTTACTGAAGTTGGGCTAGCTGGTATATAATGATGTGCTACGTGATCGCTAGCGACACAGCAAAACATAAACATAGTGAAGCTGGAGGATGAACGCTAACTTTTTTCCACTCAATAAAAGTTAACGTGAGGGTTCCTGATGGTTAGGGACAAATGCAATCGCATGGCAGGATGCTGTAAACGGACCAAACTTCAGTCAGGAGAACAACTGAGATAATCCATCCACAATATGAGGTTAGTCATTAATATACTGCAACAACATGGGAATAGAGCAGCTGCGAGAGAATTCAACATTAATGAATCAATGGTACGGAAGTGGAGGAAGCAAGAAGTAAAGTTGGACTTATCTGACTGTTTTGTTTCGCTTTATGTACCTTATGTATGAAAACAGACCCATTCATCGACAGTGCACCTTATGGTCTGAAAAATACGGTAGTTGCGACTATACTATGGATGCACACTACTGTGCAGAACTCTCTAGACACCCATAATTTCTCTATATTTTGTGTGGAAAGAGACAGCGTTTGTCTTTTTTTTAAAAGTAGTCTTGAGCAATAGTTCTCCAGGCACAGGCACTGAATTCAAATATGAAATTTTTGGTTCAAGTCGCTGTCAATACCATGTGCCTGGAGGAGGTCAAGAAAGAGGTACAACTGTGTGTCTTCTACAGCTATCTGTAAAACATGGTGAAGACTCGGTCATGGGCTGGGGCTTTATTTCACCTGGTGGAGTTTCGAATCTTTTAAAAATTATTGGAATCCTGAACACAGAAAACTACCGTCAACTGTAATCCACCATGCAATACAATCTCCAAAGCACCTGATTAGTAGCTGCTTAAAGTTTAAGCATGACAATTAACTCACTGCCAACAGATTTTTGTGATCACAATTTCAAAGAACTTGAAGTAACATCAGCAATGCTCTATCAGAAGCATTCATTGCATTGCAAAAAGACTTGGATATACCACGCTTACCAGCCATTTTCAGTGACACCCATGAAAAGCTTCATTGAAAAATGACAAAAAGGGGAGACTGAAAATCGGCTCTACCACAGCGTTTGTATTTTTTCAAACATAAAGCAGTTAATCGAAAGATGAAGACTGAATAACCAAGAATGGCAAATCTATCATGAAGTTAATATCAGTCTATTTCTTCATTTCTGCATCCAGTCCATTTCTTTACTTCCATGTTATTATCTTTCTCTCCTTTTTGCCTGTAACGTTTCCCCTCCTCCATCCACTCCTCCTCTACATGCAGTAATAAGAGCAGAGAGGTCAGTCATTCGACCCTCTGAGGCCGACCAGCCAACTTTAAATATTTCACACAATTTTAAATGAGCGCACATGAATCATAGATCACAGGCTGCACTGGTGAGCGTACTTGTGTGTGTGTGCGTTTGTGGGTGTATGTGTGTGTGTGTGTTGAGGTGCTCAAACCTGGAGCTCCTTCTAATAACCTCTGGCTGTCTGTCTCAGTGAGGAGGTCTGATGTGGAATTTAGATCCAACGGTGCCAGTCGCTCACCGGAGGCATAACGAGCGGCCTTTCATCATTGGCCGTGATGGACGGATGATGAAACAAAGCGTTAGGGATGAAAACCCTGCCCGTTTTTCATCTGCACTTTCACTGGGGCTGATCTCTCTAATTCCCAACATGCACCAGAAGTCAAAACATCACAAAAATCTGTAGAAGTATTTTGGAGACACGCCATGGCTACTGGAGACATGATGTGACGTTTAAGTTTGTGAAGAAAAATCAGTCGTCTAATCGTCCTACAGGGAATCTGACTCTCTGAGCACTTTGATTGAATTAATTACATTTATCTGTGACCAATTCTGAGTTGAATTCTGGGATAGTTTAGTTCAGCAGTAAGTTTGGATCACAAAGTAGAGCAGAATAAAGTGCAAGAAGAGATAAACCCATCAGTACATGTTCAACCTCTGATAAGCGATAAGAAATTCTTATATTTCTAAGATACAAAACTTTGATTTTTTTCCAACCCTTTTTACATGAATGAGGAGTGGATCTCACTGGGAGACTTTGTGGATAAAGAATTGGAACTCATGTGTCATTAGCCAATAAGGGGTGGCCCATTGGGATGGCTGTGGCTGAGTAGGTAGTTCAGGACATCTGCTAACTAGAAAGCTGGTGGTTTGATCCCTTGCTGCTCCAGGCTGCATGCCTTGGGCAAGATACTGAACCCGGAGTTGCTCTTGATGTATTCATAGGAGTGCTAATGTTAGCTAGAAACTTGGACACAGAGAAAAGTGCTTGTGTGAATGGGTGAATGAAACATGTTCTATAAAGTGTTTTGAGTGCTACATAGCAGGAGTCTCAAACTTAAATGAGCTGTGGGCCACTGCTCGCACTGTCATCTCATTGGAGGGCAACTTTAGTGTTCAAGTATTACAAAAAAAACCAACCAAGAAAACACCAACAAATATTTCTAAAAATGTAATGTTTTGTTTGTTTTTTAACTTTTAAGTTATTACATTCAGAACAGACATGACCGGGGGAAAGGGAAAGAAAGATGTAGACAAGAGAAGTTCAAGAAAAGGAGAGGGAAAGAAAAACAGAGGGGAAGGGGTGAGAAAAGACACTAAAAATCTACCAGATCACCTGCTGGAAAAAACAAAGAAAACAAGCAAAAAGAGAACAACACAGTAGGGAAACCACAGCAACAACCTAGATAAGCATAAGTAACAGTAAATAATAAATATTGAATTTTACTGAGCAGCACACAAGAATGACGACGCACAATATGTTTCGAGGCAGCAGCAAAGGAAGATAGTGTGCATCTGTGAATACCCGTGTGCATGAGTGAACTATTTGTCGTGGTTTTAGGCAAGGATTCAAGCGACACCTTGTAGAGCACTCAAACTCCGACCTTTATTATCTACTTCCTGTTTCAGAACCCCCTTTCACAATAAAACAGGTTATACTCAAACAGATTACACCACATCCTCCTTTCGCTGAAAACATCAAACTTACAAGAACATTTACTGCATATATGAAAACTGTACTCTTTTTTTTTTCTTAGAACCTTTCATAGAAACTTTTCTTTCTCTTCAACCTTTTTTCCTTTACTTTTAAACCCATGTTTTTCTTTTTTGTTTTGTTTATTTTCACAAGTCCAGTCTTTGTGGTTTTTTGACAACCCTGCCAGCCCTAGTTCTGACAGGACCTGGGTCTTCTGTCTTAGGAGTCAGAGTTGTAGTCACCGATAGGTTTGAAGCAGGCAGGGCGTTCTCTGTTGGACTGACAGGCGTAATTGGGGTTTGTAACTTTGGTGTGGCATCTGGCAATGGCTGGAGGTGATGCCTATTTCTCCTGATGGCTCCTGAAGGGGTCTCGACAATGTATGAGCGGGGTGTGGAGTGAGAGGAGATGACAGTCCCTTCACGCCCTACAGGGAGTGCAGAATTATTAGGCAAGTTGTATTTTTGAGGAATAATTTTATTATTGAACAACAACCATGTTCTCAATGAACCCAAAAAACTCATTAATATCAAAGCTGAATGTTTTTGGAAGTAGTTTTTAGTTTGTTTTTAGTTTTAGCTATTTTAGGGGGATATCTGTGTGTGCAGGTGACTATTACTGTGCATAATTATTAGGCAACTTAACAAAAAACAAATATATACCCATTTCAATTATTTATTTTTACCAGTGAAACCAATATAACATCTCCACATTCACAAATATACATTTCTGACATTCAAAAACAAAACAAAAACAAATCAGCGACCAATATAGCCACCTTTCTTTGCAAGGACACTCAAAAGCCTGCCATCCATGGATTCTGTCAGTGTTTTGATCTGTTCACCATCAACATTGCGTGCAGCAGCAACCACAGCCTCCCAGACACTGTTCAGAGAGGTGTACTGTTTTCCCTCCTTGTAAATCTCACATTTGATGATGGACCACAGGTTCTCAATGGGGTTCAGATCAGGTGAACAAGGAGGCCATGTCATTAGTTTTTCTTCTTTTATACCCTTTCTTGCCAGCCACGCTGTGGAGTACTTGGACGCGTGTGATGGAGCATTGTCCTGCATGAAAATCATGTTTTTCTTGAAGGATGCAGACTTCTTCCTGTACCACTGCTTGAAGAAGGTGTCTTCCAGAAACTGGCAGTAGGACTGGGAGTTGAGCTTGACTCCATCCTCAACCCGAAAAGGCCCCACAAGCTCATCTTTGATGATACCAGCCCAAACCAGTACTCCACCTCCACCTTGCTGGCGTCTGAGTCGGACTGGAGCTCTCTGCCCTTTACCAATCCAGCCACGGGCCCATCCATCTGGCCCATCAAGACTCACTCTCATTTCATCAGTCCATAAAACCTTAGAAAAACCAGTCTTGAGATATTTCTTGGCCCAGTCTTGACGTTTCAGCTTGTGTGTCTTGTTCAGTGGTGGTCGTCTTTCAGCCTTTCTTACCTTGGCCATGTCTCTGAGTATTGCACACCTTGTGCTTTTGGGCACTCCAGTGATGTTGCAGCTCTGAAATAAAATGGTAAATAAATGGTAAATGGCCTGTATTTATATAGCGCTTTACTAGTCCCTAAGGACCCCAAAGCGCTTTACATATCCAGTCATCCACCCATTCACACACACATTCACACACTGGTGATGGCAAGCTACATTGTAGCCACAGCCACCCTGGGGCGCACTGACAGAGGCGAGGCTGCCGGACACTGGCGCCACCGGGCCCTCTGACCACCACCAGTAGGCAACGGGTGAAGTGTCTTGCCCAAGGACACAACGACCGAGACTGTCCAAGCCGGGGCTCGAACCGGCAACCTTCCAATTACAAGGCGAACTCCCAACTCTTGAGCCACGATCGCCAAACTGGTGGCAAGTGGCATCTTGGCAGCTGCACGCTTGACTTTTCTCAGTTCATGGGCAGTTATTTTGCGCCTTGGTTTTTCCACACGTTTCTTGCGACCCTGTTGACTATTTTGAATGAAACGCTTGATTGTTCGATGATCACGCTTCAGAAGCTTTGCAATTTTGAGACTGCTGCATCCCTCTGCAAGATATCTCACTATTTTTGACTTTTTTGAGCCTGTCAAGTCCTTCTTTTGACCCATTTTGCCAAAGGAAAGGACGTTGCCTAATAATTATGCACACCTGATATAGGGTGTTGATGTCTGTAAACATACACGGCAGACCCAGTGGCATTTTGATGCTTTTTATTAATACTTAGCCGGTTGCTGTTTACAACGCAAACAGAGCTGCAGCTCTCCCGCTGCCCGCTCAACATTACCACAACAACCCAACCACAGGACCCAGTACAATATTTAATTCGGCGGGGCGTGATTGCGGATGCCGTGCAGGTGCGTCCGCCTCCTCTGCACGGCACCGCAGGCCACGCCCCGCCACATACCCCCATCGCCCGACTGAGGCCGGGGAACCATCCGGCCGAACGTACTCCCCCCACCGCGAGCGGGAGAGGGGATCAGCCCGGACCGTCGGCGCCCCCGGGCCCTGGCCAAGCGACGGGGAGTTGTGAGTTCAGGTGGCCGCCTGCGAACCCAGCAGCGTCGGCGAAGCTGGTCCGGAGGTCGGCCGCGTGGCAGGTGGACGCGGCGCTGTTGGTACGGTCGTGCGCCCCAGCTCGCAGGCGGCTGGGCAGATGTCCGGCAGGCACCGGCCTCTGGTGGAGGTGAGGCCGCTCTGCTCACCCCGCTAACCTCGGGCTTCGGTGGCGCGGACTCCCCTAGCACGGGCACCACCGACTTATCCCGTGGCTTCTCCGCCCCTCCCGGTGGGAGCAGCTCCCCTCACTGCGCCTCCAGCGCTGCCTCTACCGGCTGGAGCGGCTCCTTGGGCGCCGCCATCGCCGCTGTCTCTCCCGGCTGGAGCGGCTCCTCGGGCGCCGCCATCGCCGCTGTCTCTCCCGGCTGGAGCGGGCTCCTCGGGCGCCGCCATCGCCGCTGTCTCTCCCGGCTGGAGCGGCTCCTCGGGCGCCGCCTCCACCGCTGCCGGCTCCGCCGCCTTCTTCCGGGGCGCAGGAACGGGCACCGGGCCCTGCAGAGCCCCAGCGGCTCCCACGCGAGGTGTGGGGACAGGCGCTGTGGCAGGCTGCGTGCTAGTTGGTCGCAACCCGGGGGCCGGCACGGGCGCCTGCACGGACTGGATCTCCTCCACTCCAGCGCCTTTGGGAAGCGCCGGTGGGGGTGGCGGTGGTGTCGGGCAGGACCGGATCAGCGCCGCCAGATTCTCCATCCTCTGCAGGTGGCGTTCGGTCTGGTCCTGCAGCTCTTCCCGCCTGCGGCGCCACACCGCCGCCTGCTCCTGCTGCGTGGCCGCCAGCTCGGCCACCATTCTCGCCAGCTCCTCCCTCTGCTGGCCCACTCCTGGATCTGCCGTGCCTCCCGTCCTGGGTTTCGGCACCACTGTAAACATACACGGCAGACCCAGTGGCATTTTGATGCTTTTTATTAATACTTAGCCGGTTGCTGTTTACAACGCAAACAGAGCTGCAGCTCTCCCGCTGCCCGCTCAACATTACCACAACAACCCCATACACAGGACCCAGTACAATATTTAATTCGGCGGGGCGTGATTGCGGATGCCGTGCAGGTGCGTCCGCCTCCTCTGCACGGCACCGCAGGCCACGCCCCGCCACAATGTCATTAGACCACACCCCTTCTCATTACAGAGATGCACATCACCTAATATGCTTAATTGGTAGTAGGCTTTCGAGCCTATACAGCTTGGAGTAAGACAACATGCATGAAGAGGATGATGTGGACAGAATACTCATTTGCCTAATAATTCTGCACTCCCTGTAGTGTCTGTAATCCACACTGGTTGTCCCGGTGAGAGTGGAGGAAGTTCTGTCACACGATGTCTCCTGTTGTACGCAACACTGTCCTTCATCACTCTCTCTCTCGCTTTTGTCAACACTGTAGCCTTGTTGGGCAGGCTGGGATTGAGCAAAGAAGGAAGCTGGGGAACTGACGTGCGCAGTCTTCGTCCCATTAGTAGTTGCGCAGGGCTATATCCATTAGCCAATGGGGTTGCTCTGTAAGCTAGAAGTGCAAGATATGGGTCTTTTGCTTTCTTTAGCAGACTTTTCACAGTTTGGACATGACGCTCAGCCTCACCATTGCTTTGTGCAAATCTTGGACTGCTTGTTACATGCCTGAACCCATAAGCTGCTGTAAAGTCTTTGAATTGGGCCTGTGAGATGGCTGTATTCTGGCCAGCTGCTCTGACAAAAAGCCATGACATCTGAGCATATGCTGTCGGTTTTAAGCTGTTCCTTTAACTGTGTGATGTATGTCGAGGTAGCAGGCATGCATTTGACTATTTCATCCACATATATATTTGTGTCATCCAGTAGTTCAGCTGTAGCCTTAGAATCAGGGTCTTGGTTAACGGGTGCACGTGACAGTGCATCTGCTGTGAGGAGTGCTTTGCCTGGAGTGTGTGAGATGGTGTAACTGTACCTCATGAGCCTTAGGCGGAACCGTTGGATTCTGGGTGGAAGCTCGGTTAGAGCTTGCTGTCCTAGCAGGCTGACGAGTGGCTTGTGGTCAGTCTCTAAGGAGAAGTGTCTCCCGATGAGAAAATCTTTGAATCTTTCACAACCCCATGTTAGTCCAAGCGCCTCCTTCTCCACCTGTGCATACCTCTGTTCTGTTTCCGTTAAAGAACGAGACGCATATGCAACAGGTCTCCATTGCTCTCCCTCTTTTTGAAATAGGACTGCTCCCAGTCCATAGGAGGAAGCATCTGCAGACAGTTTTAACTCTTTGTTTGGGTCATAGAGTGCAAGAATGGGAGTTGACGTCAGATCGCCTTTTAGCTGATTGAACGCTTTT